TTACCTTTGCCACCACATCTCCATTCATGTTTAGGCTGCGATATCTCTTCATTGCTTTATCTTCACCTTGGAGTGACACAGAGTCTGATCCTAAAAGATACATTACTAAAATAAGTAATTATAATTTATAACCCAGAAGTAATTACTTCATTCTGATTGGCTGAGAGCAGGCCAATTTATCATCAATTATTAATGTGCACTGCAGCCCAAATTATCGCTCGCATTTGTAATTTTTTCAGTCGAATAATAAATGAGTAATAGACTATTTTCGTATTCTCAGTAATGGACTGCAGCTAGTTTGCAGTAGAGGCTCATGCGAGGGAATATCATTAAAAAGAGAAAAATGTCATTCATGCATTTGAAAAGAGTCCCTGCATAAGCCTCAGTTGCAAGCTAGTTCCAGTCCACTACCAAGAAATGGTCTCTTGCACGAAAGCTTGCAGAGCAATAAGGATTTACACCTCTCGTGATATTTGAAAATTCTTTCAAACTGCACTTGCCTTAAACCTCTGGCAATTTTGAGAGAATTTTCAAGTATAACTCATAACTAGTGTAAATCCTTCATTGCACTCGCATTCATACCATTACCTGCATGTATACTTCAATAAATTGTACACTTTTCACACTGTGCTGTAAAAATTTTATGTAAGAACAAAATTGATAACTACATGTACATTAGCATTTCATTAAACTGCCAAATCCCTTCAACAGCAGCATACACAGTCTGTTCTCTGTGATCATGCCTTATAGCCAACTAACTTCTGGTGTATAAGAAAAAGATTTATAGCACAATAATTAGTTGAGCTTACTTTTTTTGTGAGTGTAACTTCTTCCTGTTTTGCAGAATTGCACCACATTTCCCAGGATAAACATGACAGGCCATATCGCTAGAATGACCCAACTCACCCAGCAGTCTACCTTTTCATCAGCTGCCATGATCCTTTGCCAAGCATAGTTGATCAACACAAACTCTTCGATGAAGTAGTCGACACCACCCGTTATCAGTGCTGCCCCAATAATTGAGGTTGCCACAATGAAGAATCCCTTCTGCCACCTTAGCGTCAGCAAGCTGAAGATCAAACTCAAACCTAGGAGGACTCCAAATGGTATCCACTTGATGGAAACATGGTAGAATGTCTCGACAATAAAGAATATAGCAATGCCAATGAAGAATCCAAGGCCAAATCCACCAAGGAATAGGCCACAGTAAGTGACAAACATCGTCAAAAGCCCACAGAATATTCCAACAGCGACAGCCACTGCAACAAGACCCCAGGATGGCAGGTCAGCATGGTTACTGCCAATAATGTAGGTGACAAAGGTGGCAAACAGGAACCCCAACAGAAAAAGGCTGCTCTTAAAAAATCTGTAGCCTATAACATAAAGGATATAATTACAAATATCAGTATGCCTTGTTCATGATTTGTCTTCAGTTGGTTACAATACAGTGAGCACAAGAGCACTCTTAAAGAGGCATGTTACATGTAAGATTGCAGACTGCCTTGTTCACTGTAGTTGAAGTCAATAATAATTCATTATCATCATCTTCACTTGTCATGACAGTACAGTGTAGACCGTGCATAAGGCCGCCATGTTCTCAAACCAACGGTAAAAAAAGTAGAAGTATTCTCTCATTTTGATTGGTTGTTACTTATGATCTATTGGAGGAAAGATCCATAAATGATGTCATTAACATTTTTAATGGTTTCTTTATTATATAAAGCAGATACGTGTACATGTAGATTCCATGTTGCCATGCATCTGTTCAGTAATAGATCACAGCTGAAAACGTCAAAATGTGGAAAGAACACGACTGACACACTCACCTGATGGCTCATGTGCCACTTTTTGAAGCAATCTGTGATCTGTGATCTATTAAACAGTTAGATTATGAGCTCGAGATTTCTATCGCGTAATACTTGACAAGGGCGCAGCCTGAGTCAACTATCAAGCATAGAAATCGAAAGTGAATAATCTAATTGTTTTAGTATAAATCTACTAGTCGTTCAAAACTTTGTCTAAATCTTCTTCAGAGACACTTCGAAAATGCAAAGAAGAGGCACTCATTTTGCTAACAAGTGCACACTGCTACACTACTCACTATCTATCACAGAATAGATGGTGAATAGCATAGCCAATCAGAGAACGGCATTCATGATAGAATGTTAGTAGATATAGACTAATACTGAACAGACACACGCTAACATGGAATCTATTTGTTAAACAGACTGTATTTTTATTTTGCTAGGAGCTCCTGCCAGTAAATAATTAAGTGTTTCAAGTCGGTAAAAATCAGAAAAATGTACCAAATTCACAGTTTCACTGACAAAATTACTCATACTGTACATGACATTCAAGCAAATCTTACCAAATAAAATCAGATAAAATCCACAGAGGACAGCAATACAGCATGTGACAGTGTACGGTATATTGAGCTGGTTGTTTAGAACAAACACTTCGAAGCCGTGACATTCACCAATCTTTATTCCTGGAGTAGCATTCTGTGGAGTAGCATTAGTTGGTAAATCTGTGGTTATCTGGGTGGTTGGCATTACTGTAGTGCTCATGTTGACAACAGAACTACTATTGCCAACACCAGGGCTCACTGTGTCATTAATCCCATCCACAACAGAGAGGAACACACTGAGTAGAACAAGCACTGAAAGTATTGCAGGACTCATCTGTCAAATGAAAGTACAACCACAAGTTCAGCAAAGTGGATGGACATATTCATACAATTATCTTCATTATTACAATGCATAATGGCAAGGTAGTCTTGAGGACAATCTGAGTGTTCTGATCAGTTCTTTCTTGGTAGGGATTTTGCCAAGGAAACAGTCATAATCCATGTATTTTTTGCTTTTGAAAGCCAGAATAGCGACTAGGCTTGAGTGTCATATGATAAACTACTTACTAACCTAGCCAATTGCTAGAGATGTACTGGGAAATATTGGCCCTTGATCATTTTTGTGTGGACCTCACTTCACTCAATTCATACAACTGCTAGTCACCTTGGGCCAATGTTCCCTGCTGTGGCCGTCGGGCTTGGCTAGTAAGATCGAGGTTTGCTCTCTACCATACATTTAAAACTCTGTTTTTACTAAGTTGGAAGACTTACAATACTAGATTGACAGTGAATTTTTATACGTTTGGCAAACTTATTCCTCTTTGTCAGTTAGTTTCTTATTCCTTGTACTTGTTCAATGGATCTTCATTCAGTTCTTACTAAAAGTATACATTGTATAACAAATAAGTTCCCATGATCAGCAAAATTGGCATAGTGGTTTGCATTCTTCAGTTTTGTTATTCCACTGCTGACACGAATCACCATGTCGTGTACTACACTTAATGGCATAAAAGATATCAATCTCTCACAGAAATCTTTATAGAAATATGTACATGTACCAGTGCTGATATAACTTAACTTACCATTTAAACTTTAGCTTGGCTCTGAGACTTAGAAGGAGAAAACGACAGAAATCACATCAAAGTTGGCCAAATTGAATAAACATCTAATTTTGTTTTGTTTAAAAATGCGTCTAAGCCTCGGAGCCAAGTTAGAATTTTAATCAACACCTTTTATAAAAATTGACTTACTATTGTTTCCAATATACGTCCCCCGTCAAATTTCTTACTACAATGATATATTTTGCTTTCCTTCCTTTTTTTGAAGATATTAAATAATGTGTCCCTCTATGTACAGTTATAGTAATAACCAGTGAGAGTGTTATCCAGAAAATTGTGCCTGTTTAGACAGGTCAATATCAATCAGTGAAGTAGTTCAAATTGGGTCTTTAAAGGTGACTACTGTACATGCACATGCACATGCATGTGTTGCAGCTTGGTTTAACATACATGTATCCATTTTAACAAAACATGTTTATATCATACTGTATATTCTGAACTTACAACAAAATCAATCCACAGCTTATTTTAAAAACATGATACAGCCTCATCATGCATTACTGGTAATACTGTCAAGTTTAAATATAGTATTTCTAAGTATAAGTGCAACCTGCTTTTTCCAAGAACATCTGTAACACTCTTCCATTTTAAAAATTTGCAGCCAGATATACACACATATACAGCTATACAGACTGACTGAGATGCCACTTGAGACTAATTTAGTCAAAACAACACACTTCAAATTACCAGCACTGATTCATATTTTATATTTAAATCATTGTTCTTGTCAGACATGGAGGCTACACCAGAACAGATAGGCATCTGGAATGATTTTCAATAATCAGAAAGACATGCTTGATTACCAGCACACTATTAAAGTTAGCCTGTTTCTAACATAATGCAAGTATTGTTTTGGATAGAACATCCAACTTGTTTACTATAACTCAACATGTTTGGCTTCATGTTAACAGACAAGAAAGAAAATTGATTGGTTGATTGGCCAGGTTTTAACCTCAAATATTCAAGACAAGATTAACGATGTTAAGTGATATAGATATCAGTGCTTCTCATCAAATAAATTCAGACCAATTAAATTAAAACCTATCTGAAGAGGATTCACAATATTCACAGACCTACAACCTGCAAATTAAACCTAGATGTACTAAACAAAGACAAAATTATTTCAAGGTGAACTGATAATATTGCAAACTTGTTCATATCTTGTCCAAAGAAAACTTCTGTTAATACTCAGTAATCAATTGAGATGAATTGAGATCAATTGAGATTGAGAAAATCACACATATGTAAATGTAAAGCAAAATGTTTTATCAAAAATAAATGGTTCTTCAGACATAAATAAATCATACCCATTCAGTTCCTTATACCCAGAGAATACACCACAAACAATTCGCAATCACTTGATTGAAATATAACTGGAACTTTTCCCCCACTGAACATCGCCATACACGTACATATACATGAAGCTATGAAAAGACTAAGCTGTCTCAAGTCCAACCAGTTTTTCTCAGCCGTGATGAGTTAGCCATAGCCAGTTGTTGTTTTCTGGCTAATTTTCAGTGATTAGCTGTCTTTCACCTGGTGAAATTAGTTGGCAGCCGCCCATCCGCTACATCTCTGTAATGAATACAACCTTCAAACCTTTCTATTCAAGCTGTATCAGTAAAATGTTATTGTACAGTGTTCACAAAATGACAGTAAAAAACTAAGTTCTTAGATACAAATGTGAGCACTAAACAAATCTGAATCAAGGTAAAACAAAAATAACCTTTTAAATTCTCCATGTAAATTTTACATTTATGTTCATGTCAAGGCTTAATAACACAATTCTGCTTTAGGTATTAAATAAGAGTAAAGTAAATCTGCCAGCATAATTAAGTTCTGGAGAGACATGTACACATTTGTATTCTTTATATAATCCTAAAATAGCCTGGTTTTGCTTTTTCTGTATTTGTAAATATTGTACTTCAGACATCAGACACACAAATATGAGTTGGCCAACTTACACCCATTGTAGTAACACTGAATGCAATCAAGTACATTTCAGTAGCATGTTGGTAGTGAACTTACTTTAGACTGGTGACAGTTCTTCAAAAATCATTGCAAAGACAAAATAAAACAGCTGGGGAACAAAATTATGTCCTTTTCTCGTGTACACTTATATTTTACAGAAACATACAAATTATAATAAAAATACTGCCAATTATGTTTTGCATGACAGTTCACCTGAGATTGAGTTTCATTTTAATTAAGTTACTTGATAGAAATTTCCACTAAGGCTGTGATAATCAACATTAATCTCTTATCTAATCCACCTTGAGATTATTTTAAATGCAATTTTCTTATGAAACTCTAGAAATAGTTGGTCCCCAAGGAAATCATTTCTGTCCCTTATTATGTAAAAGTAAATAATAAAGGTTTCTTTGAAAGCCCCATAGTCATTTCATAGTAAAATTTAGCGCTGAGCAATTATTCAGCTAAAAGCTTTTTGTCAAGAAAAATCCATGAATAAATTTTGCATGAGAACATTGAGTATAATTAAATAAATTATTTTCACATTATTTAGCAAAGGTATGCTTTTAAGAGATTCAAAGCAGCCTTTACAGGAAATAATTTTTATAGATGTCATAGATTTTTCATGATTTCTTAGAAGTCTTTTCTTTTGACTATTAATTAGGAATTAATATTTATATTTATTAGCTATAAGTGATAATTCATTGACAAATAGCTACAATCTTGGACAGAATAAAATGGAACAATTATCCCCCATCCCCCCCCAAAGCAATGATGAAGGCGCTAAGGAGAAAAAACGCCCCATTTTGGCATCATTGAAATGGGGGGAGGGGTGGTCCAGATGTTCCATTTATTTTGTCCAAGACTGTAGATAGGTGATAAAATAATTAGATTTTTTTTTTTGCAAGTTTATGAAGCAATTTTTGACAAACCTTGATAATTTTTTTTCAGGAAACATACATTAATGTTTATATGTATCATATCTTATAAATTTTTATTGCCGATATCTTAAAAGAAATATGAGTTTCTACATTTTTCTTCCTACTATTTCAAACAGAAAGTGGAGAATTAGTGAAAAAGGCTTTGTTTCCCAGCTTAAGATTACCATCATGAGGTTTCTCACCACCAGGGGGTAGCAATTCTGATAAACACTGATCAAACAACACCTATCATTGCAAGGGAGGCCAAAAGACTCACAAGAAGGATAAATGTACGTATAATTATATTGATAAGGGAGGCAATTGAAATCCCAAGGGGGGAGGGACTCCCATATGAAAAGGACAGGGGTGCTTCTTGGAAATATTGGAAAGAACCCTAAGAGGTACCAAAATCCTGCTTTGTGGGTGTGGCTTGAAATTTTTTTCACCTCTAAAAGGTACCAATTCTAAAACAACACATCATCTCCTGTAACATTTTTTCGGCTCAATACACTGAAAGGTGCCACAAAAGCTCCTACTGTGGAACTTTCAAGGGTGAATGAACACCCTAAGTGGTGGCAAAACCACTTTTTTAAACCTTAAAATAAACGACAAGCACCCCCGTCCTTGTTAGATGGGAGTCCCCCCCTCACCCTTCCGGGTTGAAATCCAGTGCCAGGTCCCAACCCCCATTTGGAGACTGGTTTTGAACTTCCAGTCCTCTACTGGGCCAAATTAAAAAATTTTTATCGCTTCAGAAAGGTGCCGTGTCGATGGTGGCCCTGAAAGGTTGGAGTAATTAGCTTAATATTTTGATTATGCTTTGACAACTTTATTTTAACAGAAGCAACCAACACTGTGCTGGAAACTCCGCGCATTCTGCTGATTGTGCTGGTATTTCAAAATTCTTTACATGTGAAATTCCTATTAATCTGACAAGTCATGCAAAGATCAATGTGATTTTGTTGTTACGGTTTCCTTGAACTAGAATAACACAAGAATCTGGATTAGCTCAATCATGGGTTTCCCACAACCGCTGCCCCCTGCCACTATTCTAAAAGGCAATTAGAAGTTACTGTAGTTCTGTCACATTGAAGATTGAAAATAATTATTGACCTCTCCTTTTGAAACAGACATTAAACTTTTTAGTGCCCATCACACCTTACATGTAACTTATGCTCCCAGACATTCCTGTAGTTTCAGGTACTCTAATTAATTAAAAATAACACCGACAACTTTGCAAATACCTCTTGGACTGAACCAGTTAAATGGAACTCCTTGGGTCAGCCATTTCCATTTCATTTTTATTATAATTATTATTATAAATAGTTTATAATAAAAAAAATTATTGAAAAAGCATTTTGAAAGTTGCATGGTCAGCAAAGTAAACATTGTATCATAAATACATAAATGTGTACAAATGAGAAAGCTAAGTTTCACAAACAACTCTGGCAATGAAAAAGCTCATTTAAGTGTCACACAATTTTTGAAACAACTGCAATGCTTCAAACCCAGTTGTCCAAGGAATAACTTCTGCATTGACCTCTGAATTTTTTTCACCTTGTAAGCAGTGTAAAAGTTTGTATCCTTTCCGTGCCAAGATGTAGTCTCCTTCTTTTAACATTAGACAGGGACAAAGATCGCCATGTCCATCTCCAACATAAACTATGTGCTTGAAATGTTGATGGCTGTCAGTCAGGTACTTCTGAAGGACTGTTGATTTGCAAAGATTCTCTGGGCAATTATTGCAGTAGTGCTCTTGATATCGCTCAACATGTAGCTGGCCACTGCTTTCCCACATTGCAGGGTTTGTGTAAACACCACAGAAAGCTTCACGCAGGAAATCACGCTCCAGTATATGATGAATAAAGTAACTGTTGGAGTCAGATATAATTATTGTTGGCACCTTTCGAGTCTGCAAAAAATGGCAAGCTTCCTTCATTCCTTCTGTAAATTGCAGAGTTTCAAAACACTTAACATAGTCTTCTTTGGTTACATTTTCTGCATGCAGAACACCAAAGACTTTGTCCATAATATTAGTCCAACACCATCCTTGCTTCTGATGCTCTCGTATCAACTGCATGGTGGATGGAAGTAGTTTGGTCACCCATGTGTCTGTGTTTCCATCCACAAGGGTGTGGTCAAAGTCAAAAACTGCCAACAGTTTAGACTGCTGTACCTACAACAAAGTATTGCCTGATGTCAATACAAGTAATATATAAGTAAATCAAAAAGGAGAGACTACATTATTTCCATTATGCCAAAAATTCCAGAAATATTGGTTGGAAATCAAATGAAACAGAACATTCAGTCTCAGGAAAATTTTAAGAAAAAAGGACCACCTTTGAAAGAGGTTCACTTTGACTTATCAGTCCAGTCAGTCTGAGATTTGCTGCTTTATTTTGGCAAACCGGTCCATTGCCCTACTTCACTTCAATAGATTTGATGTGGGGGATTGGGGAAAGGGATAGAAACTGTTAAGATGATCCATTCTAAGAGTATGATTGGAAAATGTCTTCCCGTTTGGTAATAGTTGGTCACACAGGTCAAATTTATCTGATAAAAAGGAAAGCACCAAGCGTTTCATCGCTAAATAAAACTGTGGCTGAAAGTGTGGCATGCATGCTACAAGATAATATATACAAGGCTCAAGATTAACAGTATGCCAAGTAGCCAAAGACAAGTAAACTTTTGGTACTAAGCTTTACACCTATACTTTAGTTTGCATAATACTGTGCACGGATCACAAATTGTTTGTCACAGAAGAATTACATGTAAAAAAGTAAAATATGCACATGTAGTGTATTTAGGAGAATATATTTTTCAAAAAAATATGAAAAAAACATTTTATTGAGCTTCCTTGGGACGGCGAACTCCAGCCATATCACGAAGGACTCGGAAAATCCATGAACCAATCAAAACTAGAAGTAAATATTACTCTTCCTGCCAGACTCCGGTTGTTTAGACTCCGGTTGTTTAGACTCCGGTTGACCCGGTTAGAAGAGTTGTACTTTCTTTAATTCTTTCATATAAACGATGGGCCAAAAGACAACCCGGGTTGGAACTTTCACTCAAACAACCACGTTTGTTTGGTTTTTCCCTTTCATATGTGTTTATCATTACCTCCCATCATTCCGTTATACTGGAATTGTTTGTCATCTTTCTAGCCCACGCTTTCAGTTTTTTTGTTTTTTGTTTTTTTTGTTTTTTTGTTTTTGTTTTTTTTGTTTTGTTTTTTTCTGTTTAATCGGTAGAAAGGCTGACCTGGGACAGGCTCGAAGCAAACCACATGCTATTCCAGATGACAACCAGGGCTCGTGTAATTATTTATTTTTAGCACTCTCTGTGGCGATTCAACCCAGGATAAAATTTAAATTAACCCGGGCTCGTGTAGAGGCCCTTAGGCGTTAATCCTAATGAAATCTCTCTTGAACTTTTTTTTTTTTTTTTTCTAATCTTTTCAACTTTAGAAATCCCCTCTTGCTTGGAGCCTATATGGAGATCTCTGGAATGTTGTGCGCTCGTTAATTAATACCCGGGATTAATAGTATACACTTCATAAAACTTTGAGTTTTCAATGTCGTGTTTTCAATTAGTTCAGTTTCATCTGTTGCCATGTGGACGACTTAAACAAACATAAAAACATGTTCAAAACAAACTTGAAAATGTAACTGATCCTGAAAGCGGCAAAACAGAAATAAATGTACATAAATTTGAAGATATTACTATGGTAGTTATAGGCTTTTGATATTTGTTGTAATATACTTTCCTATACTTAGGTTTTTATTTTGTATATATTTTATTGTGTAATCTATGTCAGTTAATAGCTTCAGGGCTCCTCTTGATAGCAGAGATGCTTTGTAAGCTCCCTGAAGGTACTACCCTGAAATTTTTATCGTTAGATTTTTTTTCTTTTTAAATAACGGTATCTATCGATCTATTAACAAACAACAATGTACCGCATGCTTCATTTAACAATCTATTCGAAAAACTATGTTTATCAAGAATCCAGATGTTAGATTTCCCACCATCATGTTGTAAAATTGTGTTTTCTTTCTCGACTAAAAAAAAAAGTAATTGAAAAAGTAACGTAATATTCCGTTCAAAAGATTTATTCATTTTTCCGTTCAAAATACGCTAAATTTATCTATATTTTTACACATTTTATTGCGGATTAATGAGTTCTTATTTAAAACAGCTTTTCGTTTTCCAACTGTTTTATTAATGACAAGAAACAAAAAAAAAACAAGCAAACATTAGTACATAGCCACGGAGGCATTTATTATTGATTTGCCACCGGCAGCGAAAATCTTATGGCAAACCATGCATTGCAGCATAGGCATGTAATTTCTCTCAACTATTTCAACGCATTGTCAGGCAGGGAGAATTAAGAGGGGTCGTCATTGACAGAGGAGTAACTGTGTTGATCTATGGATAAATTCTCAAACCCTACACAATTTGAACACATTCTTTTATGAGCATTGAAACTCAGCGGGGAAGTTGTTATCCAAGTGTAAGACTTTAAATAGTTATATTTATTTACCTCACTTCTTGAAGTTCCCAGGTCGTGAACTAGGGAACAGTAAAATGAAATTTCCTGGATTTTTAGGACTTTTCTTGTTGATAGTGCGCGCTATCCACGCTTCCGACAGCCACTGTAAAAATGGAATTTGCGAGAAAGTTTCCCTCTCTCTTGCCAATGACACGAAGCAGAATTCTGCTCTTGTCGGGTACGTTATCGTGACGTTTAACTCCCTTTGGAACTGGAAGCAATGTTTTAACCTCTGTGTGAAGAATTGCCAGTGTCTCTCGTTCAACTTCAACGAGGTCAACGCAACTGAAAACTGCGAGTTGAACGATGCCAACACTAAAGTGGAACCAGAAGCACTGAGAGAAAAGGAAGGAGTGAGCTATTACGAACTAGTCAGGAATTATTACGATATGAAGGTAAGAAACCTTTCCAATACATGTGAATGACATCGATATATGTGTTGTGAGTGATCAAGAATCTGGCTCAAGCTGATCGAGTAAAAGTTGCGAATGTTATTTCGGCTAGTTTCGTAGGTTTGTTATAGTTTGACTCCTTCTTTGTTTTTTTGTTTGTTTTATTGTGGTATGATTGAAGAACCTGATCAATTATTGAGTTTTAATGTACAGGTGACTACTTTGCTTTTTGTTTTCTGTTTTTTTTTTTTTTTTTTTTTTTTTTTTTTT